CGCCACACGTCCAGGGAGGGTCGCCTGGCCGGCTCAGTCAGTGGAGCATGGGACTCGATCTTGGACTGTGAAGTCTGAGCCCCACGCTGGGTGTAGAGATTACTTAAAAATAAAATCTTAAAAATAAATAAATAAACAGAAATAAATGTTCACGCGAGGGGACCGGAGACCCGTACTTGAGTAGTGTCAGGGGGAGGAAGAAGCAAACAGGTAGACCTCACAGGACCTAATAGAAAAAAGTAAGAGAAGAAAAAAATATATACTACTGATTCTACTACTAGGAATTTATCCCAAAACATAAGATGTGCAGATACAAAAGATCAAATATGTGTACAAGGACACATATCAGAAGATGTTCACAGCATCCTCTGTGATATTTTTGTTATACCACAACAAAAATAATGAAAAGAAATCTAAAAGTCCATCCTCGGGGTGCCTGGGTGGCTCAATTGGTTAAGCGTCCGACTTTGGCTCCGGTCATGATCTCACACTTCATGGGGTTCGAGCCCCGCGTCAGGCTCTGTGCTGACAACTAGCTCAGAGCCTGGAGCCTGTTTCAGATTCTGTGTCTCCTCTCTCTCTGACCCTCCCCTGTTCATGCTGTCTCTCTCTCTCTCAGAAATACATAAAAAACATTTTAAAAATTAAAAAAAAAAAAGTCCATCCTCTAAGGAGTAAATTAAGCAGATTAAGGTCACCCAAAGCAGAGTGAAAATACTACGCATTCACTTACAATCACACAGATCGGTACTTAGTGACAAGAGTTATGTAGAAAGGCACCAAGTACAAAATATATAATGTAGAACACTTTCACTCCCAAACACTATGATCTTACTTTTACTGAAAACACACTCATACACACACAAACTCACTCACAGCTGCCTACATGCATTATAAAGTCTAGAAAGCTACAAATTCAACGGCAAAATTCTAGATGGTTTGATTTTGAGTTATTAACATCTTCATACTTTCCATATCTTCTGAAATTGACATAAAAGCTGTACTGGAAGTTTATAATGGAAGGAGAACAGTGACCAAAACAGAACACACTGACCAGACATTTATTTGGGCAACAGTCATTGGCTCATTTTCTCAAAATACTGCAAAAATTAAAGAGATTACAAAGCAGTAAAAATAACAATGTTCTAAATTAAAACTTCTGATTCATAAATCTTCAAGAGTCACAATTTGCGGGCAACACCAGGCTAGCATGAGATGGGGGGCTGAGTGAAGAGAGGAAGGGACACCTCAGGACCGTAGAGCAAAGCAGACACTCAAACAGAACCCACATGTGGTCATCCTAAAACCACAGGAAGGTCCCTTCGCTGCAGGGTAAACGCCCAGCCTGCACCCTTGGGCGATGTGACCCAAAGAGCTATTCCTTTTACTTCACTTATGCTCTGGGTTCTTCAGGAACTGACACAAGTAACGCAGAGACGGAACAGGACAGGAGATGGAGGGCCTCACACACAGTTAAAGGCAGTCAGTTTTGGACTTCCTGCCAGGGCATTCCCCGGTTACCGGGACCACATGTTCTAGAACTGTACCCCTGGAAGAGCCCTCAGTCCATCTAAAAATGTGAAGACTACTTCGTTCCCTAAAGACAGAGCTTGCTTTGGTATCTGAGGGTACTGCAGACATATCCAAGGAAAATCACCACCAGGTTGCAGTTTTCTTAAGATTCTCATGATTTGCTTCATGGACCATCAGTGAGCCTCACCACTTCGTTCCTTTTCACGGTCAAATGCTATTCCATCGCATGGACATACCACACTTGGATTTTCCACTCATCAGTCAATGAGCATTTGGGCTGTTTCCACTTTCTGACTTCTCCGGATAAGCTGCTATGGGCATCTGTGTGCTGATGTCTCCATGGACACACATTTTCATTTCTCTAGGGTCTACTGCCACGCTCTGGGGCCACATGGGCGCCAAACAAACACGACTCACGCACGCTTCCCCACCAAGCCCAGAAATGCATTTATGTCCAACAAGGCTAGCAGCTGGAGTAGACAAGCGAAATGTAACCTACTTACCATCCATGAACTAGAAAAGGCCCGGAAAGGTAAAGCAAACTGCCCCAAAGTTTAACATAACGCATCTAAGATGGAGCTGAGCCCGGAAGCAAGAGCAAGAACAGAACTGTGCGCGGCTATAAAAGCACAGTTTTATATAGCTTCTCTTCCTGTATCATTTGACTCTCACTACCCGGTCAATAAATGTCCCGTTTTTACATTTTAAAATATGGATCAGTGAAGCAACATGATTAGCTCAAGGGTATCCAGTTAGTAAGTGGCTTTGATGAACCCTCACAACCCTACCATGCCTTTTCTTTTTAAAAGGAGAAAGTCACCCTTTAATAGGAGAAAGTATGCACGATTTACATGTAATACGAACCTGAGAACGTCTAAGATATTAGCCACTAGTCTATGTGCAATTACGTTACATCAGACGAGCTCTTCTTTCCATCAAAAAAGATCTTGAGTAAGTAAACCAACTAGCGGAAAAAAAGGCAGTCACTTAAAAGGCCTATCCTGTATTAAGATTACATATATACACACCTACCTCAAACATAAATCCTCCATCTTCTACTTCTACAACACTACCTAAATGAAAAAATAATAGAACCAAGAAGTTGCATGTTACGCTAATAAACTACCAGTTTTTTGGGTTTCCCCCTTTTTTCTCCGCCTCGTACGCGAAACACGCCTTCTCATTTTGTAAATGATCCTCTTCAAACAAAGTATAAACACGTAATTCCACATACAGCTTTCCACACGTGTAGAACGCCTGTAAGATCGTCTCAAGAATGTGAAGTATTATTCAGTTCCCTTCAGCCTGGGAATATTACGCGCAGCGAGCCTGCTATTCCTGAAACTGGAGTCATCTGAGAGATCTTATCATAAATACTTAAATGGCAACATATTCATCATATCCTCTCTTCGGAATTCTGACCAACTCAAATGGAAATTCCTGCCCATGCATTCCTATTTCTGGATGGACTTTAAAACATCAGAACTACTCCTTAATATAAAGGCTCAACTTAATACTACAACGCACGTCCTACAGTACTTAGAGGCATCACTGAGACAAAACCAAATGTTAATATAACCTGAAAAGCCTTTCTTAAGCACCAAAATATCCCAAAGCCCTTTGCAACAGCACAAAGGTATTCCCATACCGAACCAGCCTACTTTTCCAGGGATCTGTGGAAACATGGACACCTGAGTTGCACAAACCACCTACCAATCACCTAAGGCCCTACCGAGCGAAAAGCTGATCTTTTGTGCTCTTAAATTATTCAAAATGAGCCTACAAAGAATTGCTGTGGACTACCTGGACCAGCCTTTCAGACGGATGTGCCAGGTTCTGGTTTTGGTGCTACTGGAAGTATCAGTGGGATTCCTCCCCCTCCAAATGTAGCGAGGAACCGAGCAAGAAGCTTAGAAATCACAAATTACTCTTCATTAGAAAAGGAACTTTCAGGGGAAGACATAATTTACCTGTGACAGGCTGACAACTACACATGATAGTGATCAAACTTCACTGAATACCCAGAACTACTTTTTTTTTTGGTTCATCACTTCTGAATCAAACAACTTTTATAATCATTTTGTTTTAAAATACCCCAGTTTCACTGTTCTATATTTCTCAACCTTGAGATAAATCTACCCAAAATTCGGGGGGGGGGGGAGGGGACTCGTAATGTCTGGTCTGCAAGACTCCTACAGCTCTAAATCTTTAAAACAGAAATCAACAATAGTATGGGAAGATATAAGGTTACCTATGTTTTATTACAGTTCCTGCGTTTTCAAGGACATCAGTACGTGGGGGGGAAAAAAAAACCAAGCTCAAACCCACGGTTCAAGTTTTTCAAGCCATATTTTACAAAGATGATGTTTTTGGTTTGCACGCCATAATTACGTTTTAAACTGAGCCTTCCCGTTTGAAAATAAGTTATGTGAAACGACTAAGGAAAAGGAATCTCTTTAGAGACACAGCACTGAACACATTTTTAAGGCCACGAAGATCACGGTCTGAAACTTGGAATCAGAGAAAACAACTCAAATTCCCAGTAAGCTACAGTGAAAAAATACAGCTATGTGATACGAAAATGTATTTTTTAATGGGAAAATGTTCAACCTTGATGGAATAAAAAGAAGGAAAACTAGCGTTTAAAATGGAAACTACTTGAATTGAGGAAGATTCCCAATGACATGACATTTTCTCGCCAAAGCGAAGGAATCTGCGGATTCGGTCGCCGAAACCTCGCTTCGCCTTCGGCAGGTCCGGGCAGCGGCGGGCCATCAATCTCAAGCACAAAGGAGCCTGCGCGGCGAAGGCGCCGCGAGACCACCGCCCCCCGAGGCCGGAGCCCCGCTCCCCGCGGGACCCCCGGAGGCGGGACCCCCGCGAGCGGGCCTGCGCGGACGGCCCCTGGGCGCATCGCTGCGCGGGGAGAGGCCGAGGCCGCCCCGCTTCCCGACGGCGCCCCGGGGCCGCGCTCGGCGGCGGGGGAGGCGCCCGCGTGCAGAGGCCAGCGCGCCCCCCACACACACGCGGGCCCGCGCCCCCCGCCCCGGCGCCGTCCGGTCACCTTCCGCCGCCCCGCGGCCCCCCGCGCCCTCACGCTCGGGGCTCCCAAACTTTTCCTCACCCCCCCCACCCCCGTTACAGCCGGGATCTCGGGACGAAGGCGCACGACTCCTCACCTCCGCCCGGAACAATGCCCGTCTCCCGGCAACGCGCACGCCGAGACCCGCGACCCCCTCCCCATCCCCACCCCCGGGTCCGGCTGGGCGCGCCGGCGGGGGAGGGGACCGGCCGAGCAGGGCCTCGGGGACGGCGGGCGGCGCCGGGTGCGGAGCGAGGCCCGAGGGACAAAGGGACTGAGGCGCCGAGGCCGGGCGGCGCCCGCCGGGGGTTGGGGGGCGGGGGGGGTTCCGCGGGGTCGCGGCGCCCGTCGCACAATGGCCCGTCGTCCCCGCCCGCGCCCTCACCTCATGGTGCCGGCGGCCCGCGGCTCCCCGGCGGCCGGGGACGCGGGGGTCGCGAGCCGGGCCTCTCCTCCGGGGGCGGGGACGCGGCTGGCGGCCGGCGGCCGGCGCTACACCATGTCCCCGCGCGGAGCGGCGGCGCCGGCCGGGCGCGGGAGGCGCGGCGGGGGCCGCGAAGCTGCGAGCTCGGGAGCCGAGGCTGCGCGTCGTCCCGCTGCGGGAGCGCCCGGCCGCCCTGGGAGGGGAGCCCGCCGCCGCCGCCGCCCGGCCGAGTGCAGGCGGCGCCGCAGCAGCGGTGGAGAGCCGCGAGCGCCGCGCGGGGCCGGGGAGGCGGGGCGCGCGGCCGAGGAGCACGCAGGCGCCGCCCTCGCTCCCTCCCCGCCCCCTACCGCCCCTCCCCCTCCCCCGGCGCGGGGGCGGGGCGGGGGGCGCGCGGCGAGGGGCGGGGCGGGAGCGCCCCCGCGCTAGCCGCCCGGCCCCGCCGCCCTGCGGAGCGCGATCCGCCGAGCCCCTTTGTGGCCTCCCGCCCGCGCTGCCCTTGGGCCTCCCCCCGCGACCGGGCTGCGCGGGGCTTGTGGGGGGGGGGGTGTCAGCGGGGCTCCCGGGGGACAGCGGGGCCTTGGGGTGGGGGAGCCGCGAGACCTGCGGGGGGTAAGGGGGGCTGCAGGGAGGAGCGGGGATTAGGGGAGCTGCGGGGGACAGCTGGGGGCTGCGGGGCAGTGGGGGCTGCGGCGTACGGCGGGGCCTGCGGGGGTGGCAGCGGGGGGCTGCGAGGCCTGCGGGGAGGAGCGGGGGTTGGGAGAGACAGGGGGAGGGGGAGCTGGCGGGGGGGATTTCGGGCTCCCCAGCTGGCTTCTGGGCGGGGGCGGGGGCGCCTAAACGGGACGCGAGGGCCGCTGGGGCGCCGGGGAGACACCGGAGACACGCACTCTGGGGGCGGGTATGACCTCATCGGCGGACGCACGCGGGGGGCACGGCCAGGGGGCGAACCCACGACAGTTTCAAGGGCCCCCGTGTTCCCTGCGCTCCAGGTCTCCCGCTTTGAAACGTAGCTGTCGAGCGGGGCGCCGCAGACCAGTGGAAAGGCACGGGGGTGGCGGGCGGGGGCGGGGGCCGTCCTCCGGCGAGGCAGAATTTATAGTGTGGGAGGTTGTCGGCCCCCGAAAGCAAATCCGGGAATCAAGCAAGAATTCAGACTGGACAAATGGTAGGCGTCCTGCAGTCGCCAGGAGGAGGAGGAGGAGGAGGAGGAGGAGGATGGGTCTTCTCCGGAGAAGGTGGCTGCGATGGAAAAAGGCTGCCGCTGGCTTCCCGGTGTTGCACCGGCCCGTCCAAAATGGAGGCCCAAGCAGGGCCCCAGGAAGCCGTTCAAGAGTTTTGGTGGTTATTTTAAGACGGAGGTACAGTTCCAGCTGTCGTTATGACACTGGCGACCATTTACACTTGCAAAGGAAACGTGAGCAGGTGACAGGCGTGCTTGGTCAATGCCCGGCTTGTCTATAATGGAACCGCACGGCCCAGTTTTCACTATAAAAAAGCAACCTGCTTGCAGACTCAACGCAGAGTTATTTTCTTTTCCGAACCTGCAGCCTCCAGGCAGCGGTGACCTGCAGCTGTGGCCCGGGACCAGGGTGGCCTCAGGTGGCGGAAAGCACAGCGCCTCTGCTTTAACATGGCGTACTTGAAGAACGCTAATTTCCACCCACACGCCTAATTACAGTTTACCACCACTCAGCGGCTTATGCAGGGATCTCTAAGCGCTGGGAGACACCCTCGCCAGTCGACTGTCCTTGTCGCCACATTACGGGCAGGGACGGAGGTAAAGAGCTCAGGAATTGGATGAATTAGTTCAACGGGCACCCTTAAGAACCCTAGCTACCCACTGTGAAGGTCATTGTCTTCGCCTAAGTACTCACTGTAGTTTCCATCATTAGGACCGGGGCGCTTCCAGTATTACCCTCCGGATTAACCAAAGACCGCTTGGCGTGGAGGCTTTTTTCTTGGGAGCGTAACAAGTTACAGTGAAGTATCTTGGGGAAGTATTAATAAGACATATGCCACCACAAAGAACTCGCACCACTTTGCCTGAGTCCATTCATAGCAATACAGTAAATCCAATAGAGCTTGTGTTTCAGGGAAAACTCTCACCAAGGGCCAAAAGGGGTGGAGATTTTGCTGTAATGACTCAAACCACCTCCTGCCAGAGCGGGTGAGAGGCAAGGATAGAAATGCCTTACAGATGACTCCATCACTTCTCGTTTGTGAAATGTAATCCATCCTGCACTCAGTAAGCGATCTATCACATCATCTCTGTCCTAACAGCAAACATTCCGATGGTATGGGCACCGAATTAGGCAATCCAAGTGGAAAATGCTGCTCTGTTTCCTATGTTTATTAAAAATGTACCAGCCAAGAATCTTGGCTGCCTATGGCCATTTTCATCCCCTTGCACGGCAGCTCGCCAGTTGGTCATCCCACTGCATTTGGATTCGGATATGGCAATGGGTGGCCTGACCTCCAAAGGGCATCCTGTGGAAGGGCAGTTTGTTGCCCTGGACAAAAATGTTACTGCTTCTCATTCCTACTTGGTTTCACAAAGAGGGCCAAGAGAAACTTGAGCTAGGAAATCACAGACTGATTCTGGTCACAGAGGAAACTTTGCGGAACATGTCACCATAGAGAATAAAAGAATTTTAGAGGTGGAAAGAATCTTAAGTCCCTCCCACTCATTTTTTCCAAAAGGGAAAGTGAGACCCAGAGAGGTTAGGTAAATTGCCCGCTGTCACACAGCCACTCTGTGGTGGGACTTAAACCGAGGAGTAGCGATTCCTGGGGTGCTGCTCCTTCCCCCACAATACACCCCCTTCCTGTGGCCAAAGATACCGTGGTGTGACGCGGTCAAAGCTAAAGCTGATTCGCTTCTCGTGAACTCTGCTTAAACGTGAGCAGAGAGACTGTTGGCTCCGCCAGATGGAGAAAATGGTCTGAACTCTGGTCAGTCTTGTCCGGCCAGAAGCCCAGTGCCCGGCCCTTCCGTAGCCACCCAGGCGTTTGAAAGGCAGGAAGGTCTGCCTGCTCCGATCTAAGATGAAGAGGAGACTATTCATCAAAAGAACTAGGCTTTCTCCTTAACACTGAGTTTGTGAATCTCCACCCCCTCCCTAGAGTAAGCCCCACCCCCCCCCCCCCCCCCCCCCCCCCCCCCGCCACGGCATTCTAGAACATCCGGCTGAAGAGACCTGCTCCGAGCCCCAGGTGCTCACAGCCCCGATGCTGGTCTACACCTCTGTGAGCAGTGTGCACCAGGGCAGAAGATGAAATGGAAAACCCGCTTCTGTCAAAGCTGACTTGGCCTTGGGAGTGTTGTCAGTCTGGCTCTGAGGCTTCTCTCGGAACATGCCGTGTTTAAATTCGTCTGATACTTCAGTGTGGGTTTGCCCTCCATTTATGGGCATGAGGAGGGTGCGTGACTAATGCTGCTCAGCAGTGAGGCAAACAGGGCTAGCGATTGTAGGCAAGGTCTCCCCAGTGCCCCAGAAAAGGACTCTCCCCTGAAAAATTAGGAGTTACTTAGGGACGGGTGAGGAAGGGAAGGCAGTTTCCAGTGAGTGGTGACGGCACCCTTTCTACTTACATATATCGGTATTGTTTTCTTTGGTGGCAGTCAGTTCGCAGCAGAATTTTTGTTCATCTCTCCAAGAATGGAAAAAAGAAATAATGTAGAACATGATATTCCAGTAGGATTCAAGATCTTTCTCTTACTCATCTTTCAGCTTTAGCTGCCCATATATAATCTGGGTCCTAAAATATTATCAGGAGACATAGACGCGAGAGGAAAGCAGTTGCCTGTGACATTTGCTTTCTTTCTCTCCCAATTGTCGTGTTTCTCCCTTCCAAATTAGGACTTATTCAGTTAATTTCATTTCCTCTTCCCGGAGTCTCTTTTCTTGACGCTGCACTGTGTAAACTTGACAGAAGATTATTAAAGCCCGAACGGTAACGTCACAGTAACATTAATTGGGAGAGACTATATTCTATAAAAATGCAACACTGCATCTTTTCCACAAAATTCAGCCACGACCGCTAATTAAAGAGCACAGCAGGTGGGCTCCAGTTCTAGCTAACAATCAAATCATGGTGCTTTACAAATGGGATTTAAAAAGAAGCACCGCCACAATCTAATTCTGAGCTCTTACGTCTTGCAGAATTTCCCAGTAGCTTGGGAAGAAAAACTAGTGGTTGCCCTTCTTGTTACATTGATTTACTTGTCCCGTGTACTGTGACATAATCAGACTTGAGAATACCTGGCAGTTATCTTGGAGATGACCCTGGAATCTCTCCCAAAGGACATCAGGAGGAAAGTTGTTAAAGAAAAGATGATTTTCTGCCTAATCGCGGTAGAGAAGCAAGATATTACCCCTAGGATGTATCCCAAACAAGCTGTCGGGTATTAATTCACACTGCATCACCCCACATCGTTTGGGGGTCCTCTCTCACCTCCAGGTTGTTTCAAAGTTCATTAAAAATCCCGATTGTCCTTCTCTTTGAAGCTGGTGCTAAGCGTGGCGATCCAGCCAAATTCTAGTTGGGGAAATTAACTATCTTCGCATCTTGGTGTTTCTTAAGTTCGATGTCAAAATCCAGTCTCTGGTCAAGGCTTCCTACAGCGGAAAGAAAGGCACAACCTTCCCACAGTTAGTGCCTTTGGTGCCAAATGGTGATGTCGCATCCATTCTATACGTGAAGAGATGGAATTTGTAAAGTCCTTGAGAAGGTAGCCAGTGGCTAAACACCTCTAGTCTCTGTACTAACAATACCTGCTTTAGATGAAAGATACAGACAGGCTCGGGCTCTACGTTTGAGAAAAGTAATGTTCTTAGAGCCACAGGAATGTGAGAGACGAGCTAGTGGTTGGCCCAAAGCGGGATTTGCCCACCTGCTAGGCACTTACCATACCTCTGTTATTCTTCCCAACATTCCTGGGAAGTGGGTCCCCTTAGGGTCATCCTTGCAGCTCCCCAAAGTGGAGCACAGGAAGGTCGGGAGGCTTGCCCGAAGCCACACAATCAGTAGAAGAGAAAGCCGGAAAGGCCGGTTCCGCGGGCCACGCTCTTAAACTCTGCACCAGATGGCCTCTTCTATTTCACTTCCTCCGATTAAGAAAAGAAAAAGAGAAAAAGGCTCAAGGTCCACTTGGGAAATAGAACTAACATAGTTAAAAGCAAAGCAAACAAAACACTCTCAAGTCACCTACCTCTTCCTTCTGCCCCTGGTAGCTACGGGGCCCAGGCCATCC